TCCCAGGTGTTGGCATGTTTAATTTTTCAATATCAAAAAATCATATTAACTAATACTATCATCAATCTCATCAAAAGACTGTTTAAGTTTGAGGAAACTTTCAAATCAGTGCAAAAATAAGGTTTCCAAAATTCAAATTTTTAGTCGAGAGCTTGAATTCTATCATTAAAATATCTACTATCAGTTTGTATTTCAAAGCTTGAACTCTGCCATTAAAACAACTACCATCAATATTTCCTTAAAATGACAAGGACATTATGTTCAATTGTGAGATATCTCCCGGACACCCAACCCTGAAAAGCTACATTTTACCTATCAATAATTTTCTAAAGTGAAAATCGAGTTCCTTGAAAAAAAACAGCTAGTTTGCTTACAATTTAATCACACCAAGATTGTTTCCTCAAGAATCCATATTTCAGTGTATAGCTGAAGTGCTTTATGCATGCTTATTTTGTTATATAAAATAGTAAAATAGTGTATACTCAAGTGTTTAGATTTAATAAAATGAGCTTTTGTTGCTTTACCAGGGACAAGGACATTCTTAAGTGAAGCTGCCATTATTTTACCACAAGTATATACTGTAGAGTGAAGAACACAATGACTGCTGGAATAGTTAGTTGGCGCTACCTTGATTCACGCTAGGCTACCAGCAGTTCTACCCACCATCAGCACAAAGGCCAACGCAGTGGAAAAGGCAAAGGGTACTCCATGCACCACACTCTGAGAACGGCTGTTCTAACTCTCAGCCTTTCACTCAGTGCAAGAGGGCTAGGCCTGAAAAGAGGAGGGTTGGCTTAGAGCACAAAGGTGACTTTAAACAGAGAAAATTCCATTCACAAAGATATTTAACAGCTAATTGCGTATGGAAGTCATGTTGAGTGGATATATATAGTTAAAGCTTAAGTTTTTCTTTTATTACATGTTCCTATGAATTAAAAAATAATAAAAATTCTAGAGTAAGGCATGAAAAATTACTATAATTCTGTACTCAATATTTTAAGAAGTTATATGATCTTTTAAAATCTCATTACCTTTATATCTGAACTAAAATTCTAAATTTTCTTATAGAATATGAAAAGGTTGACTTGGATGTGCTGATGGATGAAGCAAAAGCTTTCACAGGTAAGAATGTATATAACATATTATAAAATCAAGATCTTGCTTTTTGCCTGCCTGGCAAGCGCAAGGTCGTGAGTTCAGTTCCCGGTACCGGAGAAAAACCAAAAAAAAAAAAAAGATCTTGCTTTTTGCAGAGAATTACCTTCTTAAAGCAGTAGCTTACCCCTTGCAGCAAACACTAATGAATTCATTCTGCTCTTTTCCATATTCAATGATAATTTTGTCTTTTTGACAACTATTTAGATTTATGGAAATTTAGGAAAAGTGCTCACTTCAGCAGCACATCTACTGGAAATTTAGAAAAAGTACAGGCATTCTCAAAGAGAACTACCAGCATGTTCAGTATCTGGGCCAGTAGCTCTCTTTACTAGTGTTTAAAGAACAAAATAGAGGTGAACACAGTGACTTTCAGTGTGAAGTTTTAAATCAGGAAATATGCTAACTAGGAACAGTTCATCTCATAACTCAGACCATAAAGTAGTAACAGATATGTTACTTGCAGGTAGAATTATTTAGATTCTGTATACCATTTGTCTTAGTCCATTTGTGCTGCTATAACAAAATGCCATAGACTGGGTAATTTATAAACCAAAAAAAATTATTTTTCATATTTTTATAGTTTTGGAAGTCTAACATCAAGGCACCAGCATGTTCAATGCATGGTGAAACTCTTCTCTACTTCAAGATGGTGCCTTAAACACTGCCTCCTCATCTCGTGGGAGATGGAAGGGGAAAGAAAAAGAGGGGTCTATCGCAGTGTGAGGCCTCTTTTATAGATCCTTAATCCAACTCACGAGGGAACACCCCATAACCTAATGGGGTTGACCTGTTTTTCATTAAGAAGCAGGGCCTCCTTCTTAATACTACTGTACTGATGATTAAGTTTCAACATTTCTAGAGAAAACACAAGCATTCAAGCCACAGCACCGTCTTAAGTCAGACGGTTATACAGCCCTCATGTCGCTCCATTTACACAAACACAAATTAGAAGTGTTATGCTCTCACTTAGATTAAAGAATTCTTTCAGATGCTGAATTTCAAAATAACTCTGTATAAGTTGGTTCATGTGGTCACACCTTATCCTACAGTTAAAAATAGTGCCGTATTTCATATATTTTTCATAATTTTAATAATTTAATCTCAATATTGTCATCTGAAATAATTTCCATCTACTGAAAGGAGAAAAGGTTGCAGCCACGAACCTAAAACATGTGCTGGAAGACATGGGAATCAGACTCACTGCAGAAGAATATTCGAGGCTGTTGAAAACTCTGCCCATCTCTAGTGAGTATCTGACACCCGGTCGCAGTGCTCAGGGAAACGGCATTAAAGACTTGTGGGTGAGAACAGTAGAAACAACAAAAAATGTAGTTCTAAAACCGTGGTGGCGAACCTGTGGTGTGTGTGCTGCAGCGGGCGCACAGAGCCCTCTCTGTTGGCACGCGAGCCAGGTCACACCCAGCAACCCAGCATTGCCTAACGGCTGTTTTTTCTACTCTAAAACCTCAGTATTCAGGTTTAATTTCGGCGCTGGAACTTTGCAATAAGTGTGTTTTGGCTCGTAGTTTGCTCGCTTGGTCTCTAAAAGGTTTGCCATCACTCTTCCAGCATAACAACTACATTTTTATTCACTTGTGTTGTCGCTGGTGTTTTAATTTATTTTGTTTTATTTTAAAGAGTAAAAGAAGAATAACATAATAATGGGGGGGCTTACCAAATTACAGACAAAGTGGTAGGAAATTATCAATGGTTTGGTGTTTTAATTTAAAAGTGAGATAAAGGAGGTGCGGAGCTAGCCTTGAACTTGCTGCGTGCCCCAGGCTGGCATCAAGCTCTCGATCCTGGTGCATCTGCTTCCAGAGAGCTGGGATTACAGGCGTGTGCCTCTATGCCTCTCTGGAAGTGAGAGACTTTTACGTGAGGAAATATCTCTCTTTGGCATTTGACTAGTGACCCTGCTAAATATTTTTAACAGGACAGCTAAATTCTTCTGTATCCCCTGTGAGTTCTGCTACCTCCCCCCATCCCAACATATCTGAGAGCAGGAGGGCTCTGGGATTGGATGGTTGTACTGTCATTCTCGGTTCTGATTGGTCAGTGACATAACCAGCCAATGACTCAAAAGTTCTGCCTTCAGGGCACCATCAGAGGCTCAATCATAAAGACCCTACAGGCCAGTCTGTGTTCACCTGTGCCTCCTGCTCAGTTCCAGGGACCTCTACAAAGATATCCTTCTCTGGTCTCGTAGTCCTGTCCGCATTTGTCTCCCAGGCAAGAGCAAGCCTGCCCATTGCCAAGAGGGCTAATGTTCCCAGAGACAGAAGCAGCCAATATTGAGTGCCTATCTGAATTTCCCCCACATAGTCTTTTTTGTTTGTTTGTTTGGTTGGTTGGTTGGTTGGTCTGCTTTGGTTTTTAAGACAGGACCTTACTATGTAGTTCAGGCTGGTAGTTCCAGGGTAGTTCCTTACTATGTAGTTCCAGGGTCAGGTGTTTTGCTTCTGAATACAGTAGGAAAGTCATTCAGATGGATGGTATTGGAGACCATCACAGATACATGCCAGACACTGGAAGTTCTTTCAGTGCTTCAGACACTCACAGGATGGAGAACCCTGGGCCAGTCAAAACCCATGAAGATGGATTGGGTTCACTGATGGCCCCATTCTCTGTCCCAGTTAAATTTCACCTCCATTTATGAAGTTGGTTTACAAAACAAATTATTTATCTAATTTTTATTCAAATGTTTTTGTTTGTGTCCATAGCTACTTTTCATATCATCCCTTTGTGGGGTCTACATGTGTGCTAAACATGTAGATGTTTCTCGTGGGCCAGAGTGTAGGCAGGAAAAGAAGGAAAGAGTGGGGTCAATCTTCAATAAAAGAATAAGAAGAAAGCAGAAAGAAAAAGAATATTATATACCCAGATGTGGAGGCACACACCTGTAATCCCAGCACACTGGAGGCTGAGCCAGGAGGACCACTGAAGTTTGATGCCAGCCTGGGCTACCTAGTGAGTGCAAGACCAACCTGGACTGTAAACCAAGACCCTGTCTCAAAAAAACAAAGAGAGAGAGTGAAAGAAGAAAAAAGCATACTGTGAATTTATGTATACATTGACTACTGCCATGTGTTCCCACTGGGGGACAGACTGACCACACTGAGAACAGTCCTGATCTTTTTTTTAATGGTGACAAAATTTATTTGAAAAAGTAAAAGTGAAGAATGATGGAGAACCTGGCTCTGCAGAGTGAGCTTGGGCCAAGCAAACGAGGAAAAAGCGAGCTAAAAGTACACCTTGGAGGACACAGGGCAAGTTATCATGAAGAAAGCCATGAGAGGCTGTCCTTGTCTTCTGCAATTACTTAAGGGTGAACCGGAATAAATTTCTAGGTGAGTCATATCAAGTATCTTATAAAATTATGGAACTCCTTATCCTTTTTATTTTACTATGTCTTACAGGAGATGGAATGGTGTATAAGAAAAGATTACTGGATGGTGTGAAGGCTCTCAAAGGTAAGAATCATGAGAATGGCAGCTAAAATTATTGTACTTTGAATTTGCTCTTA